ATAGAAACTATTTCCGATTAATTTTAATAATTTTTAAGTGGTCCTTCATTTATTGGGGGGCACTGTATATATATATATTTACGTAATTTTGATAAAGTTAGTAAAAAAAAATTTTTTTTCTGATATTTAAAAATAAAATTATTAATTACATACAAAATACATTTGTATTATTTTTAATAGATTCTAAAAATTTAAAAATTTAAAAATTTCTTAAATCCTTAGAATAACAAAAACTTATAAAATTTATTATTATTTCATTATTATTTCATTATTACAAATATTAAATAATCAATGTTTGTAATAAATGAATAACAAAAAATAATATATGTAATAAATAATTCAACTTATTAAACTTGCAATATCGTTAATATATATTAAGTAAATTAAAATCTTGTTTTCTAAATTGTTTTCAAATAAAATTGTTTGAAAATTAAACAGTATTTAATATGTTTCTGTTTTTTAAAAAATACTGTATATTTTTAAAATTATTATTCTTAACAAAAGTTCAAATTTTTAGAAATAAATTTAAATAATAAAAATTTGTTATCTTTTATATATTGTATTAAGAATTATTTGTTTTAAATCATATTTGAAAATTTATTAAATGTAAATAAATAATTTGTGCAATTAAAAAATAATTTATTTTTATTTTAGAAACAATTTAAAATTTTTTCAATTATTATATAATATAATTTTATTTCAAATACCATTTAAAAAATAAATATATCATCAATTAGTATAAAAAAATTTTATTATAAAAAATAATAATAATTGAAAAATGATTATATTATAAATAATACAATTGTTGTAATAATATAAAAGAAGTGAATAACTTATTTAATAACTTGTTTGATAACTTATGGAAAAATATTATCAAACAAAATTAGTAAAAGAGAAGAATAGGTTTAAATATAAATTAATAAAAATTTTGTTAAGGTAAATTATTGTGTTATATATAATAGTTATAAATTCGTTAAAAGATAAAAAATATTTTTCATTATTTTCCAAAATCATATTTAAAAATTAGATATTAAAGTCAAATATTTAAAATTAAATAAATACAGTACAGTATAATTTAAATTAGAAATGATGATCTCTCCAAAAGAGAAAATTCATATATAAGAGCGAATTTACATTGCTTCAGGAGAGTTTGAATAAAATAAGTGCGTGTACCCGTTACTGTATACTTGGCTTTTTTTTATTCCTTTTTTTGATGAATAACCTTTTTTCGAATTCAATCAAGATAATTAAAAAAAACACACACAAATTTTTAAATTTCCAAGAGGCCATACCTTCGCGTTTTCAATTTTTTGTAAAGCTGTCGTTTGAACCGAGACGTTACCAACCGTATTCTGTTGCCAAAAAGAGGTCAGTATCGACGAGCGTCAATACTGACCAGTCTTCAGTTGGCACACAGAAACAAACTGGCAAGGAAATGAAGATCATGTTGACCGAGAACGAATCGAAGATATGTAATCTTTTGAAAGAAGTAACAGCATTCTTGAAGCAAAGCAAGCCTGAACTTCCTCCTATTGAACTTAGAATAGCTGGCGGTTGGGTTCGTGATAAGGTAATTATTATCATTGTTATCATTATTTTATTTTTATTTTAAAAAATCAAGTATCTTTTTATTGGAGTTTTACTATTATTATTATTATTATTATTGTACAGTTGCTCGGATACGAATGTCATGACTTGGATATTGCGATAGACAATATGATGGGTCTCGAATTTTGCGAAAATATCAGCAGTTATATGAAATCCAAAGGAATAGACGTTAGAAGCGTACATAAGATCGAATCGAATCCGGAAAAGTCCAAACACCTAGAAACTGCCACTACGAAAATTTTTGATCAAGAAATTGATTTTGTGAACTTACGTCATGAAGAATACGCGGAGGAGAGTAGAATCCCTAAAATCGTGAGTACTTAATAATGAAATCAACATTTTTTATTGAAAGGGTCCTAAATTTGATTTCTAAGATATCTGCATTTTAGGTATTTGGCACTCCAGAGCAAGACGCATATCGGAGAGATCTTACAATAAATTCACTTTTTTACAACATAAACACGAGCTCAGTCGAAGACTACACGAAACAGGTGCACTCCCAAATGATAAACATAATATTAGTATAATATGACGAATTTAAGTTAAGCTTGATAGTTGTTAATTCAAAGGGAGTCTCCGATCTGAAGGAGGGCATAATCAGGACTCCTCTTCCCGCATTTGAAACCTTTATGGATGACCCTTTGCGGGTTCTAAGATGCATAAGATTTGCCAGTCGATTTCATTTTACGGTATCCGAAGACATCTTGAAAGCTGCGAGAGATGATAGGTTAAAGGTATGTATGCTCGACCCATCATATATCTCCCTGGATATTTGTCACGAAATTTCTATTTAAAATACAGGAGGCGTTTAAAAAGAAAATAAGTCGCGAGCGTGTCGCAGTAGAGTTAGACAAAATGATTCAAGGTTTTTGAGGGAATTTTAACAAATAATATATGTAAAATATTTCACATTAATTTTAGACGAAATTTCGTAAATGTGCGTAGGACCGGATCCGGTTTTATCTATAGAACTTATATATGACTTTGGTTTGTATGAAACTATATTTGTACCACCATCTCAGCAAAATTGCCAAGGAAATATGGGAGACTCTAGAGATGTTGTTAGTCTCGCGAAGATACTGAAATGGTTATTTTCACTATATATATAATCTATCAACCTCACGATTATTTCTTACTATTGAACATTTCTTTTACAGGCTCTTGCAGCTTACTGGCAAAAACAGTATTCACTCGGAACTTTTGTCCCGAACTCCAAAAGATCTTAGGGCACTTTATTTGGCTTCTGTTCTGATACCTTTTAAAGATATGAAAATGAAGAAATCAACACCAATTTCTTATGTCCTGAAGGATAGCCTTAAGGTAAACAGAGGAAATTTAGGAAGATGACGATCAAAACTAATAATATTCCGGATTTTGTGATATAGTTTCCTGCTGTAGATGCAATTTCAACGGAAAAACTAATTTCCACCATTAATCCTCTAATGGATACAACGAAGAAAAATGCAGAAGTCCCTTTAGATCGAAAATCGATTGGTTAGAATTGACCTATATTTATTATTGTTTTTAGTGATTTTATTAAATATTTGTTTATTTGATTAATAGGCTTATTTATTCGTGAGGTAACCGGACCCCATTGGATGAATTCTTTTATAATTACTATGGC